TATTACAAGTAGAGAAAAGTAGAGAAAATGATAGCATAATACCATATATGGGCATATGAACACTGTAATAATAATTATGGGTAATCATTAGTGAAAAATAATTTTTTTTCAATTTTATCTGTTAAAATACATGAATTATAAAGAGCTGAGTTGCTGTTGCTGAGTGAGTGTTTCCCTCGGTAACCAACCTATAGAAAATTGTACTGTGCGTAACTAAGAATATTATTTTACCAAAACACATAATTATTTTTTTTTTAAAAATCCCTAAAATGATTAATGGTTTTGTCCACATTGAAACATGGACAATTTCCATTTAGTGTGGTAAAGGTAAATCAGGTTCCTAACTTCTCGAGAGATTGAATTACCAAAAAATATGAGACTATCAAAATTGATTATACAGAATTTTTAATGTTTATATACATTGAAGTTTCCAAGCAACATATCAGTCTGGTTTACATTATCTATTTTACAATTTGGAAAGATGTTATTATTCATATTATTCACATTTTCTCATAAAAAAAAGGATGGACACACTCTCAATGGCTGGCCCATTACACAATAATGGCAAACAAGAGCTGTCACAGGAGACAGCGAAGCTCGACTAATGAAATACTGGACGCAGTAAGGAGGACAAAACTATGAAAGAAAAATCAATTATGTATAATTATGTATTAAGTTACAGTAAAAAATAACATTTGTTAACATAAATTCCAAGATCAAGGGGAATAATTCTAGAAATAGTCATGCTAGAGTTATGGACCTTGCCACACAACATTTGTGTAATGATAAGAAATATATATTTGAAGTTTGAAGTAGATACCTTAAAAAATAAAGAAGTTATTATATTTCTTAAAGAAAATCCTAAGTTCAAAGAGAGATAAATCTGTAAATATTGCTTCAAGAGTTATGAACATTGTCACATAAAATGTAATTGATGATAAGGAATAAGTATTTGAAGTTTGAGGTAGATACCTTTAAAAATAAAAAAGTTAAAATAAAAAATAACATTTTTCTAGTAAATAAATCTAAGTTTATGGGGAGATAATTCTTGCAATATTGGTGCTTGAGTTATGAACCTTGTCACATAAGATGTGGATGATGATAACGTAAATATAATTGAAGTATGAAGTTGATCCCTTTAGAAATAAATAAGTTACAGTAAAAAATAATATTTTTTTATGGAAAATTCTAAGTTTAAAGGGAGATAAATCTGAAAATATTGGTGCTAGAGTTATGAACCTTGTCACATAAGATGGGGATGGTGATAAAGTAAATATATTTGAAGTATGCGATTGATCCCTTAAGAAATAAAGAAGAAACAGTAAGAAATAGTATTTTTTGAGGAAAATTCTAAGTTCAAGGGGAGATAAATCTGAAAATATTGGTGTTAGAGTTATTAACCTTGTCACATAAGATGGGGATGATGATAAGGTACATATATTTGAAGTATGAGGTTGATCCCTTAAGAAATAAAGAAGTATCAGTAAAAATTAGTATTTTTTAAGGAAAATTCTAAGTTCAAGGGGAGATAAATCTGAAAATATTGGTGCTAGAGTTATGAACCTTGTCACATAAGATGTGGTTGATGATAAGGAACATATATTTGAAGTTTGAAGATGATACCTTAAGAAATGACAAAGTTATAGTGAAAAATATTTTACTGCACCAAAACTTTAATCTAAAATCTGGACGCGGACGCGGACGCCGACGCCGGGGCGAGTAGGACAGCTCTCCATATACTTCGTATAGTCGAGCTAAAAATGCAATCAAGCTTTGCATTTCCAGTCAAGAAATCATATTGTATCAGTAAAAAAGAATACTGTAAAATCATTATAATTTGAAGGGCATGAATTTTCGTGGTTTTCGTGAGTAGGGCAATCCACGAATTTAATATCCAACGAAATTTTATCCCAACAAATACTTCTTGCCATGTCTCTATTCTATATATAACAAACATGCATCGGCGCTTTTCCACCGATTTTTGTGTAATGTTCAATGCCCAGAGGCAAGCCGCAAAGATTAAATTTATTGACAAGCGCTGTGTGATACATAAAGATATGTACATGTGGTAAGTAAAATGCGCGGCGATTAAGTGTAAAATTACCTGTTAAATTACTTTGCATTAGGTTATTTATTTGATTTTTTTACAAGAAATTGAAAATCCACGAATTTAAGAACCCACGAAATTACCCGTTTTGATAAAAACACGAAATTTCATGCCCACGAATATAAGTGAATTTGCAGTACACAGCTTTTTTGTATTTTGTATGTTATTTAAGTGTTTACTTGCTCTTACACATATATATTTATCAGCATTGTATTTCCTTTTTTCAAGTGATATTGTATCTTTAGAGATCCTTTATTTACAATCTTTAATTGTGCGCCCAATTGTGAAACGTGGTTTGATGGCGTTTTAATGTCGCACCAATTTATATGCTTCCGTTAGAGGTTTTTTAACGTCATTTCTGTTTTTATCATAAATTATACTGTTGGTATTAAAGAAGACTGCATGGTCAAAAACATGTATACGATTACATTTAAAATAATTAAATTCTACTGTAGTTGTCTTTATTATTCAAAGTTAAAAATATACTATAAAATTCTATCTAGAATTTAAAAACAATAAAATTCATCTTAACAAAGCTATCCAATGATTATATAATAAAACTAACCTTATAAATATAAAATAAATCCTTATCTTAAATACTGAGTAATCGGTGCAGACGACATAGAAGGAATATTAAGCAACATGCATACATAACAATTATAAAGCAGACGTCAATATGATTTTTTAACATGCCACAGATGCAGACCACTGAGCCACGCATCACACTAATGTGGGAAATTTTCTTATCAAAAGGGTCGTGGAAATTCCAGACCTGGGATGCTTATTATGCTCTTGACCTTTAAAATCAATACCCATCATTGCATGATAGAATAGTCTCTACACCCAAAGTCACTGCATGAAAAATAGCCTCTACACCCAGCAACGTAAATACTTCACCATGCAATAAAAAGATTATCATCAGTCTGTTATCTTGTTTATTTCAACATGTGATTGTTTGAACATCTTTATCACTACAGATAAAAGATAAATAACGTCTTTACGTAGTAGCGATATTGAAAATATTTGAATATCGGCTAATGAAGTATAATTAACATTGCTCCTCAGAAGTAAAGGTACACCACTGAGGTTTCGTTCAAGTGATAGGACTAGAATTTTTTTTTTTTGAATTTTTTTTGTAATAATTCAGATGTAGGACTAACTAACCTGTGTAAAAGATGTGAGGTTATTTGCTCATTCTGATGTTCAAGAATAATCATTTTATACAAAATTACCCATTTTTATGCAAAATGACCCCAAAATGAAAAGTACTAGTATTGAAACAACAAGAATATAAATCATCTTTTTGTGCAAAATGAACCCAAAATGAAAAGTATTTTAACGCTGAAAGCCTGATAACTCAAACTGGGCTACAAATTGCACATAAAAATATTTTTCAGTTTACATAATGTTATCCTGAGAACAATATATATTTCGCATGTTTTATGTTGAATATATTCTAATTAAATTTCCAAATTTCTACTTCATCATCATCAACATAGCAAGAGCAGTCTCTGCATTTCCTGATGCAATATCTGATATTTTTGTTGACATATCATCCTTGGCTATAATAACTTTCACCATCCTCTTAAAATTTTGACAGGTTACTATCAGAGAGGATTCTATCCTGGTCAAGACTTTAGTTCACAAATTTACATACATAATTTTTATAGGAATTTGAACATAATCTAGAGGCATGCTGCTTTAAGTCACCACATGCCTTTAACAATTTCTTAAAACCTGTAGGTATTATTTGATGCAACAGTGATTAAGTTTATACAGACTTTATATTAGTATGATTGTGCAGGAAGCTATAAGCTTGTAGAAATACCATTGAGTCTGTTCCTGGGACTAGCCAGTACTGAGAAAAGAGTTCAGTTTCTTGCTCAAGGAAATGATGGCTTGCTGGGTTTGAACCCACATGGCTAGAGATCCTTAGGTTGCTAGTCCAACTTTAGCCTGGGTTCCAGTCTGTCGATTTTTTATATGCTTCTGTTCGGCAAATCGACAACCTGGGGAAATACAATTTTCGATCGAAGCGCCACCTAGTATTCACCCCGAAAATTACGGATGTTATTTAAAGAACGATAACTCATGCAACAACAAACGAGTTTCTAAAAATAGAAATAGCGTGTATGTTATGAATAAGCAAAAAATATCAACGCCTGCATCCAGGCTAGTCCAACTTGTGTACCACTCAGCTATGCTGCTAACAGTGATTTAATGACCTTGAAAATTTTGTCATTATCAGTGACCATTAACCCCTCCGCCACTTCCTGCACTTATTTCTGACAAACATGTATATAACTCACTGCCTAAATGTAAATGCCATGGGTAGTTTATTTCATTATAGAATAAGTCAATAAGAATCTGGCCCCTTGTTCACTAAGATTTAAAGATCAGGGTCAAAATAAGGAACAAAACTCAAAAATAAATAATTCTCCAATGTTTATTCTCATTGATTTTATATTCAGTATTACCTGATAAAAATGGACCAGAAATAGCATGTTTAAGACACTTAATAATTTTTCTTTGTCATTACTTTACAAGATGTCTCAATGAAAACTGATCCAAATATTGACCATGATCCTTTGAAACTGGTCCTCATTTCGATCTGGCTATTCTTGTATTTGTATTTTTATTCCATTATTTTATCCAAAAAAAAAACAAACAACAACAGTTTGTCAAATAAAAGTTTGTCTCTTTGCAAGTCAGCATTTATTACACTTTGTTTATGTACCATTTTATTTTTAACCCCAATATAATCAACTTCACTTTTGTAAAGCTTCTATATTATATCCAGATTATTTGATCCTGATCTTTTCTTTGTGAACACTGTGCCTGATTTACAAATTTAAACTGACAGCTACAAAAGTGCAAGATAAGTTATTCATACCTCTATTTGATTACACTCTGCAGCGTTATGCAGGGGACTGCCCCCTAAGTTGTCTAATGTCACTTTAGCTCCGCCCATTTTCATCAACCAATCAATAACAAGGGCGTGACCTTGACTAGCTGCATAATGAAGAGGGGTTTCTCCATCAAAATCTCTATCATTTGAGTTACATTTTTCTTCATCAACCTGTAGAAAGGAATAAGAATGTCGTATTAATGTCAAATACCGCCTTTCACTAATGGTTTATGTCAAATACCTCCTTTTACTAATGGTAAATGTAAAATACCACTAATGGTGAATGTCAAATATCACCTTAAACAAATGGTTTATGTCAAATACCATGGTTTATGTCAAATACCGCCTTACACAAATGGTTTATGTCAAATACTGCCTTTCACTAATGGTTTATGTCAAATACTGCCTTTCACTAATTGTTTATGTCAAATACCGCCTTTCACTAATGGTTTATGTCAAATACTGCCTTTCACTAATGGTTAATGACAAATACCGCCTTTCACTAATGGTTTATGTCAAATACCACCTTTCACTAATGGTTTATGTCAAATACCGCCTTTCACTAATGGTTAATGTCAAATATCACCTTAAACTAATGGTTAATGTCAAATACCACCTTAAACTAATGGATAATGTCAAATATCACCTTAAACAAATGGTTTATGTCAAATACCACCTTTCACTAATGGTTTATGTCAAATACCACCTTTCACTAATGGTTAATGTCAAATACCACCTTTCACTTATAGTTAATGTCAAATATAACCTTTTACTGATGGTTTATGTCAAATACCACATTTCACACATAGTTTATGTCAAATATAACTTTTTACAAATGCTTCTTTTTTATACTTTGGATGACATCATTTCTCTCTTATGAATAAAGTAATAAATTCATTAGCTATTTAAGTCCAAAATATGATTTACAGTAAAAACCCTCAATTAAGACCACCATCGGGACTGGACCAAAGTGGTCTTAATTGCGGGGTGGTCTTAATTGTGGATATTCTTATCATTGCTTACACACGTTATGACCAGGGCCTATTTTAGTCATTTTGTATGAACAAACCATATGTATCTTAACTTGCAAATACAATATGAAAGTATGTTATAATGTTACATCTGATGAGAAGAAAACATATTTCTGAAGAAATTTTTTAATATCAAATTTTCTTGTTCTAATTTCAATAGTAATTATTTTATGATGTACATAATTCACATATCATATCAGACATTATTTCTTCACAAAACAAATGTGCATAATGCAGCATTAAAACCACTATGAAATTAACATTCTCACCTTTTTTTTCATTAAATATCCCATACATAATAGTTTTTGACACCTTGTGTAATCAAGTGTCATGCCTAAGAGCAATGAAGCAGATAATAACAACATAACAACACATTTAAGATCTAGGAAGGTGTTGATTTTAATATCAGTGGTCTCAATAGTGAGGTCAAATAAAGAACAAAATAATGAATTGGGACTGAATTTGGTGGTCTTAAAAGTGGATAAGTGAGGTGGTCTTAATTCTGGATCATGTAACCATTGACATAAAGAACAGAAAATTACGTTCTTTTAAAAGCTGGTCTTAAAAGCGGGGTGGTCTTAAATCCGAGGTGGTCTTTAGTAGAGATTCTACTGTATATGTAACTGAATCAAACACTGACTGTTGTCACAGAGGCGGTTATCTCTGGAACCCTCCCCCCAGTAAAAAATTTAGATATTCCAGTCTGTACTGGCAGCTGGTACAAAAAATTCTTATATTTCAGACCAAATAATGTCAAATACTCAGATAACTTGATAGCTGCATTATAGATTTATAGTAACAAGAGCCCAGCGCACTACTTGATAGTAAAATACGAGCCTGGATAATATAGAATTTTCTTAGCTCCAAAAGGGCAAAGTTCTATCAAAATTCATGTTAGAGTTATGGGCCTTAGATAGTGGCCTCCTATTATGCTCTCAAATAAGTATGTGAAGTTTTAACCCATCATCTCTTCAGTAATTTTGCATGCAAAAACTTTACCAAAGTGTGGCACTGACACCTGGGTGAATACAACAGATCTCCCTATTCTTCGAACAGTCCAGCAAATTATGAACATAGTATTTACAAATTTTCAACACAGGTATATATTCTTGTGAAGAAATGGATGTATGTATAAAGATCATAAACAGGAAGTAACTTACTAAAAATCTCACACAGTCTAGATGTCCTGACTGTGCGGCTGCATGAACACTGGACATTCCGTCATACGCTTTCATTTTCACGTTTCCTCTATAATCCTGTATGAGTAAACGTAAAATCTCAAGATGACCTTGTTGAGCTGCTAGGTATGTGGCTGTTGCACCATTACTTAACTGGTAATTCACAGACCTGAAAATTAACGATGTATATTGAAAATGAGCTGGCTTTTGTTCAGTTGAGAGTATTTTTCTCCCTTTCTCACACTACTTATTGTCCCGAATTACTAGTTTTTCCCAAATGTAATAATATCAAACTTCCCAATTTGGTTGTTCCTGTGATTCATTTTTCACTAAAATAACCTTACTTCACAACTTTAAAATTTCCAAAGTGGGAAGAAACCTCAACAGTTTTCAAAATGGAATGAAAAACTGAACCGAATTTTAAGCTAGAAAAGGGGCATAATTTTGTCAAAAGCCATCACAGAGTTTCAGTACTGAAAGAACATTGGGAAAAAGTATTATCTCATTTGCCATTTATCTGAACCAATTTTTTTGCTTCTTTTGCTTTTTTTGCAATATGTACAGTTATAGTGATTAAGTCTTTTGTACGGAAGCTAAAATATTGCTTTGTTTACATTTTGCTACTTTAATGACAAATTATTTTGCATTTAGTGCTACTTTCTTCCTGTAATAAACTTCTAACATGCTCTTAAACCATTATTCAAACATTATAAAACTTAAGTTTGCTCTATCTAGAGAAGGAAAAAAATTCCTTTCTGAGTCATAATGTGCCTTTTAAATATATTGCACATACGTGGGATCTTCATCAAGAAGAACTTTCACAGCATCGTAATCTCCCCCAACTACTGCAAAATGTAACGGGAGACCGTTACTTGCTGTCCGTTTTGAAACGTCTGCTTGTTTGGCATCTAGTAACCATTCTGTTATATCAGTGTGGTGAAACCTGAAAATAATTTTATGAAAAAAAAGTTTATCATACATGTAATATTGCTGACCATAGTCAATTTCAAGCTGATATCAAGTCATATTTCAAACTGAAAATAGTATCTTATCCCCTTAGTCTTGGAAAAAAATCTCAATCAAAACATATGTTTCAAAGGTGGTTACTTTAGTAAAATGTGGGAGACGATTTCATCTAAAAAGGACAAAGTTTAAACTTCACTTTTCAGTTCTTCTTTGGACATTTTGTGCTCAAAATGAAGTAAGAAATCTGAACTTTATGTCTTTAATCACATTTAAACATTGATATCAAAACAAAGTTTATTCTTTTTTTATTGTTATCTAATTTCATTTAAGTCTTAAAAGTCACAAACAATATACATTATTTCATGCAGGCACATTTCCTAGCTGTGATTTAAATGTGGAATATTTGTCCTATCTATCTTTATGTCTTTTTCTGACAGAAACTTTATACTCTATTTGCTCTTTTTAATACAGCATTTAAGATTTTCAAGGGCAATCACTTTGCTTACATAAATGTGCATAATGGTTGCTGCAAATTTATAAATTTATCTTAAACAGAAAGGAGCTATGCAGCACAATGTTGTAAAACACTTTTAACAGACTTTATGCTATATAACCGCTATATGTTATAAACATAATCACTGTTTACTATACATCACCATTGTTTGTAATTTAAACATTCTTGCTATATATATATAACCATAATTTGCTATATAACCAGTGTTTGCTATATAACTATAATTTGCTACTTAACCATTTTGCTATATATATAGCCATTGCATGCTATATAACCTATTTGCAATATATCATTTACTGATACTGTGCCTTACCCCTGCAATATGTCAAAAATCTCTGTAATTAATCATGTGATAAATCATGTAATTATGTATACCTTGCTGCCAGATGTAATACAGTCGCCCCTGTACCATCCTGGTCATCAACAGAACATCCACCAAACTGTAGTAACCATTTTAATGCTTCAAGGTTCCCGGCTGCAGCTGCATCATGAGCTGCTGTGGCCCCTAGCATTAGATAATACAAAATAAATATAGATAAAAGATCATAAAACTAGAAATGTGTTCAGACGAAGGGGATGCCTCCATATTCAACTGTTTTGTTTGTCAATGGATGTACAGCATGACAATTGGACGGACTGACAAATGCAAATTTACATCCTATATCATAAGTTCTATTCAGCTGAGTTTTCTATTTCTGTGGACAGTTCCTTATTTTATCTCCAAATTAATGATATCTATACATAAAAAATATCAAAATATCATATACATTTGCAATCCAAATGAATACAAATAATTTAATTTAAAGTGGGCCTAAGGGTTGTGGGGAAACCTTACTTAAATGGGGAGAGTCATTATATGTAGTGTACACCCCTGACAGGGTATAATGACCCCAGCCATTTTAACGAACCCATATTTAATAGCCAGCAATTCTTAGATTACTAGTCCAACCTGTTAAAACACACATCAGATTATCCCTGCACGACAAAAATATAAATAGGAAGCAATTTGTCTTTGAAAGATCCATCAATACAATATTTTTTAGAAATCTGACACTTCTTGAAACTGCAGTGTGAAACAAAATAAGTGAACAAAAAACATTTTATGTAATCTGCATGTTAAATCAAGTATATAAATGAATTAAAATATATCCACTCAGCAAAAGTGTGTCCACATACCCACATTGGATCTTTTATATCCAAGGAATCCTCTTTCCTTCACCAAAAATTCAAGAATGTCAGCCCCACCCTGCCTGGCTGCATAATGTAGACAATTACACCCTGAGCCATCACACAAGTTGTCAGTCAATATATCTTTGTCATAGCGTCTAAGACTTGCTAAGTCACCACATCCAGCTGCATCTAAAACCTCCTCTCCAGGCAATTTCATATTAATATAAAGAATTTGGGCGTTTTTAATTGCTCACCTACAGGTTTGTTTACAAAATTCGCTGCGCCCTCATGCGGACAGGTGATTAATCAAGTCACGTAGACGCTTATCGAGATTTTCTATTATACAAAATAGAAATGAACGAAAAATATACAGTAACACCACTAAATTTCTTCATTCTCGCAAATAAAAACGCCTTTTGACATCATTTGGTTTCTTGCATGCATGCTCTGTAATTATCTGGGAATTTCATTCAAGAAATGCAGTATTTTAAATTATTTGTCAATACATTTTATATAAATAACCGCAAAAAGGATTTATCATTTAATTTGTTTTGTACATTCGACTATAAAATGTGTTGCCTATTTTGTCATATTTTTGATGTAAGATGCAAGATCTATCTTGTCATATTTATAATACATTGAATGTCGACAGATCTTTTGTGGAAGAAAATAGCTTGCTTGATTTGGTTTACTTTGACTTTTTCTTAAATTGACATTCAGTACCCTTTTTTTTGCTATGAACACTTAGTATCTCATCTCTAAAGATAGAAAAGTAGCTTAAATTGCATTTTCAATACTAATTAATGCAATGAAAAATATTAATGGATAATTACATCCTGGAAATAAACTTGTAAGGTTATCTTATACATGAGCGTATTAGTAATTAATATGGTCAAGATGTGTGTGTGTCCATAGTGAATTATAGTATTTACAACTGTCTTACAGCAACCGTGCGTTTGTTTTCCCACTATAGCCACATGACGGGCTTGTCTATACAGTGTATACATACAGGATAGCAGCGACATATAGGGATCACTTCTATGTCGTCCGCCTGTCGTCTGTCACAAAACTTGTCCAGAATAATCCTAAAAATCTAGTGGAGTAATTTTATTTATTCTTTATAGGATATAGTACGAGTCTAGTTTTACATACCATCGGCATTTTTCCGGTTCAATGATTTTGTCAGAGTTATGGCCTTTTAATGATTTTTATTTTCAAGGTTTGTCTGGACAGCTTCTCTTATTCCTCTTATGCAATTTCAATGAAACTTTACAGGATTAATCGGTAGCTCAAATTTTCCGGTTTAATGTTATTTGCTAAGTTATGGCTCTTAAATATAAAAAAAACGTTTTGGTCTGTTAATGATTTTCGTGTCTCCTTCACAGTAGCTGCAACATGTAACAAAGTAGCCGCCGCAACATATATAGGGAACAAACTGGTTAATCACCCCTCAATACAATTTAACTGGCTGTCACCAGGCGACACATGTTTACATTTGGTAATTTAATTTATAATCGAAATCTAAATTGATTTAACGCTTATATACCCGGATGCAGTAAACGTTTTATGTTTAAATGCACCATTCAATTGTAATCGGGTCTGTATTTACATATATAATTAAATATATAAACTTAGATTATCAGAAAATTATAGTTCTTAATGTGTAGAAATTCAATACATTAAATATTTCTGTGGTTGCACATGACTGTTTGGAAGTAGAGTTGAATTTTTCTTTTCAACTTGACAATACTGTTTTTTTCTTCCTTTTTACCTTTAAATGCCAATTTGTGTCTTTAGACTCGGGTTGTTACCTGAAAACCAGGCAATACATTTTAACCCCCCTTTTATTTGTGTGGCTTGCCCTATTGATGACGTGATATTCAACATCTTATGTGATCATAAGTTTCACGTGCTCATCATAAGCGGGTTGGTTATCATAATGTCTTTTTCGGTCGATATTTCGACATGTATATCAACATGCTCGTTAGTGACATAAATACACATCAGAGAAAGTTCGGAAAGTGATAATTTGCCGATTGATTTTTGTCATTCGGCATCGCACTCATATATAACTTATATTCTGATTAAAGCCTATAAACAAACATGTCAGAATTACATGTGTGCCACTTACGCCAAAATAGCGCTATACAATGTTAAAATACAAATACATGTGTAACTTTGTAACTAGAAAAATTGAATTATATAACTCTTCCAATTTCCACGATACATAGCTTTGACACCATTTATTAGAACTAGTTGAGGTAAACATAAAAGCAGTCTTGTCCCGAAACAAATATTCAGGTCAAATCACAGTATGTCTATATAAGTTCTTGGTAAAATCAGGGTATAAATATTAAGAGGATATTTTTTCGTTTGAGTGAAATATGGAATATATTTTCACGAAACATGATAAAATGCCACCTATTTTCACGAGCCGGGACGGCGAGTGAAAATAGGTGGCATTTTATCATGTTTCGTGAAAATATATACCATATTTCACGAAAAACGAAAAAATAACCTTTTTATTTAATTTCATTATCAAAGAAAAATGGTTACGAACCCCCTTACTTGCTACGCAACTGCAATTATACAGCGCGCAGTAATATAATTATTGTCTTGTTTTGCACGCGATATTTAGCGCTACATTGTGACGTCATGTAAACAACTCTTTAAACGTCTGTACAGCGTTAATGACTGAATTAAAGATATTGGTGTTCGGATTTATTTTCTTAGTTAGACAATTATCTATCATTCTAGATAGATTTCAAAACAAAATTCAACAAAAACTTTTTGTATAATTTATCAGATTTTTCAAATAAAAAATTGCGAAAGAAGTCCCTTAAAATAAATATGAGTTTTGACTCCGCCCACTTTCATATTTATATTTCATATTTATTTTAAAAAAATATGAAATATATTTGACTGATATATCACAATATTTCATGGGTAAAATTAAATAAATAGTTATAGTTATATTCCTGTTCAAATGTATAGCTCTGATTGAAAACTGATATATATAATTAATAATATCATAATAATAATATTTTAAGAAAATATACATTTACAATATCATATTGCGTACATATCACATGCATATGAAACACACACAAAAAAAAAGAAGCTAGACATATATTAGTATGTTTTATGCTACCCTAGGAATGCCAAATATTTTGAATAGGGTCAAATTACTGTAATAATAAGATGCTAAATTGTATGATGTATAAATGATTAAAGTTGAAATTTAAATGAAAATATTAAAAGTTGTACAACTGTAGATTATCATTAAAGGCAATAAACAATTGGAACGCATTTTTATGGAGAATGTATCCGATATATACACATAGCTAAGTAAAAAAAAGAACAGAAAAAGGTAAAAGACTTTTGACCGAAAGATATTAACTCGAGTTTCTTAAAAAACTTTTCGTTGGGCTAAATCATAAGAAATAAATTATAGATGAACATTGAAAATCCATTCCCTACTACAATATAGTCGGTTGTGTAAATTTTTAACACCCTACTCATAGTAAACCATTTCTGAATATTTTTAAAAAAAAAGAATAACAATTGTTTTTTAATATCAATTTTTAGAATTGAAAGCGAACAACAAAGAAGTAAATGCTAACGATAGGATGATTACGAATTTTCAAATGGCCACCCTGTAAGATTACTGTATTGAATTTCCTAGCAGCCCATAAAAAATTTTTAACAACAGTTTTAAAGTAGTTGTACGTGATTTATACGGTTGTAGTAGTGTAGTGGGTGTGTTTTTCAAAGATCTTGTTTTTTTCACTGTGACAAAAAAACACAAGTTATGCAGAACGAAATTATTTAGCGGTTTTCAACCTAACAAGTAAATTTTCGTTCAAAAATACAATTTTGGTTATTGAAAGCGTTGTAATGACACTGACTAAAGTTGGATAACAACAACAAATCTGTCATATTATCCAATTAATTTATTTATGTTTTACTTCTGTTCTGGTCGGTTTTTGTGAGAATGGAAGAAACTTGCCGTGAGAGTGATTGCAGTGGTAAATCATTTTGCCGATGTCAACAGGTGTCAAGCGCACCAAGTTTAGTAGAAGAGGGTAACAAACATGTAAAATTTGAGGAAATGAAAATAGAAAGAAATGGCTCATTTGAGACAAGATCTGCCTCACGAGGGAAACTTTCCCGTAATAGGTAATGAAAATGATAATTAATTCCAATATGTTGCCACTTAATTTCAATAGAACAAGTGCTGACCATATTGAATATGAATAAAGCAATGCCTCAAAGCGAGCACTTTTACGCTTTCATTCCAATATATCAGACGTTACAGGCTTGTTATAGTTTGTGTCAATCAAGCCAGACTTTAAATTTTTATTGCTCAAAAATGATAGCATCATAAAAAATTTATTATTTATATTATCTTGCCTTCGAGCTCGTTATCAAGTCATCTCATTTTTTCCCAAACTAGACAGTTAAATAAATTGTCGAGTTCTTTTACCATGTCAGACTGTCATGATAATGGGTTAAGGGTCAACTCGGCCCTATTCCAATTCTGCACGGGTCAGCTCAGCACAGGTCAACTCGGCCCTCTATTAAAACAGATATAGTTAGGATATAGATTGTTTCGATTGTTTAGTTAATATAAAATTTTAAGGAGAAAATTACAATGACGTTATTCAGAAGTATGATCACTTACAAACAGAAATTGAAAAAGTTGGCAGTGTACCTGTACATATTGTTTGAAATTATCTTTGTTGTGACCCTGTACGTAAATGCCCCAGAGTTATGTACAATATTGGGAAAAGAAGATGAAGAGTAGCAAAACATGCATAAAAATTGTGAATTTTTTCTTTCTCTACAAATTCACATACAAATTGGTACTTTCATCAATAAAACTTTTCAATATCCTTGAGTAGAGGTCTGTTTTTGTGAAAATGTTAAACCATGAAAGTTATGATGAAAACATATCAAAAGTATTTAAAAGTAATCATTACCAGTAATATATAATTATGTGCCGAGTTGACCCGTGCCAAGTTGGAATAGGGCCAAGCTGACTCGAGGGCCGAGTACATTTTAGGGCAGAGCTGACCCTGATTCATAATAATTTTAGTTATGACAAGTTAAATGTTGATGCTGCACATCAAAGACGCCGCCAAATGATGTTAATGTACAAAATCAGAATTGAAAATCGTTCTCTATTACAGTTGAATATTTGAAGCACTTATTAATTTTTTTCTCCATGTTCTTGGTATGTGTCTGAAATTCTGAATATGATATTCAAACATGACACTATCACTTCAGTTAAAAGTTTATTTTAATCCTTTACAGCTCTG